CAATTTGGGATTTTCTTTACTTTTACTTTCAATGATAAAGGTAAACATGACAAACATGACAAATGCAGAGGGTGAGTCTCCCTAATGGGGGCACAGACGGCAGTAAAAACTGACAAGCATTCATACTACCTGCACGGAGTTTGCATGTTCTCCCCGGCGTGGGTTTCCTCCGGCTACTCCGGTTTCCTTCAACACTTCAAAGGACATGCTGGTAGGTGATTTGGCTCCTGTCTAAATTGTCCCTAGTATATATATGTATGAATGTGATTTAGCCCTGGGTTCACACTTGTGTGGTGCGGCTTATCGTATGTCATGTCATTCGCACAGGAACCGCACCGCATTCCTGTGCAAATCACATGCAAATTCTGTGCAGTGCGAATTGAGCCGTACATTTTGTATGGCTCAAATCGCACCGCATCCGTACCAAAAAGGTACAGGACCCTTTTTTTGGTTCACACTAGAATCGGATCGCATACGTATTCACACCCATGCAATCCGATTCTGCACATCGCACCTCGTTTTGCGGACCGATTTTGGGGTGTTGTTAACTTAACATAAACACACGCAGCGGTTCGCATGAATGGGGTGCGATTCTGATGCGGTGCGGAATTCGCACAGAAACCGCTGCAAGTTCCGCACAGCATCAGTGTAAACCCAGGCTGAGAGACCTTAGATTGTACGCTCCTTGAGGGTTAGGGACTGATGTGAATGTACAATAGATATGTAAAGTGCTGCATAAATTGATGGCGCTATATAAGTACCTGAAATAAATAAAATCCCTTTGCACTCTTTCCAAAACTAAAAAAAAGAAAAAGTTTTGCCTTTAGCTATACTTTAACCTCTTGGCGCCGGCCGCACGCAAATGTGCAGCCTCCCGGCGTCTGGGCCTTGATGCCGAGCGGCCGTACATTTGCGTGCAATTAAGAAAAACATATGTGCTGAGAGCGCGCGCCCCCAACCCACATGTCCGGTACTCACAGAAAGGTCCCGATCTCCTCTTGCGATCAGGAACCTTTCCCGATCATGTGACCGCCGTGACAGCGAATCACAGCAGTCACTTGACCCTAAAACCCCATCCCGCCTCCTGGCTTCTGAAACCCTTAGAGGGCCGGGGGAGGCGCCGGCACCAAGAGGTTAAAAAGAATGGAAAAGCAGCAATACAATTGTCTAAATGGACTCTAAAGAAAAATTTTGGCTATACATACACTTTAACATACTAGAGTCCACTCACAGCTCCCCATTGGGGTGCGTTGCAGTAACATGCACTCTACCACAATGCATTATACAGGTATTAGTGAGTTGCAGTGCCATCCATTTTTAAAATTAACATCCCTGGCGGTATGATTATTTCAGATTTTTGGTGCTGAAAGCGGTACCATTATTTTGCATGGAAATATGTCGTTTTTTTTATTGTAGGCCTGTCATTTTTAGGAATAACTCACTGAAATCTATCCAAACAAGAGTCTAGTAAACATTCCGGATATGATAAAACTTGAAACACAAAGTCATAAATTATAATTTAATAAATAATCATAAAAAATAATAATATAATAATAATACATTTAATTCAATAATATAATCAAACCAAAAACACTGAAATTTGAAATATAGCGCCAAGTTCACACATCGCTGAGCAAAGTCACAAAATCGTTTTCAGTGTCTGATGCCAAATTTCCCCCACAAATCATTATCACTCAATTCTGCAAGTAGTTCTGATTTACTATCGCTGTTCTCTAGCCGGTCTAAAACTGATTTTGACATAAAGGGACGCTTTTTGGACTCCATGGACATTTCTCAGTTTCCAGGCAGAAAGAACAGTCAAAATGCAGGCAGGGGACAGGACAAAGCAGTAGGGACAAAATGTATGTGAAACAGCAATGTTTTGCTATGTAATAATCGTTTTTAAAAAAAAAAATGAAATTTCAAATTTGCCGCCGCTTCCGTCGCCCGTACGTCCCGACGTCACAGGGACAGGACCACGGAAGCCGGATGCCGGCATCGGCCGGAGGAGATGGCCGGGGACGCTGCAGGGGACACATCGCGGGAGCGAAGGACAAGATAAGCTCTTTAGGGACTCCCTAAGCAACGCCGCATGGTAAGCCCGAGTGTAGCTCGGGGTTACCGCTTGTGGTACTGAAATTTTACCCCGAGCTACACTCGGGAATACCGCCAGGGAGGTTAATGCACCTCCAAAGTACATACATTGCAGCACATCGCAGTGCACAGCAACAAACCACCATGCATTGTAATGAGCTGTGGCAAAGAAAAGGAAATGGTCCTTGACCAATTTTTGTTGCATGAATGGATTCCTTTAATGTAATTCACACTGTCTTGCGTTCAGAAACACAGGGGGGATTTACTAAAACTAATGCAGTCAGAATCTGGTGCAGCTGTGCATGGGAACCAATCAGCTTCTAATTTCTGCTTGTTCAGTTAAAGCGGAGTTCCACCCATTTTTTAATACTTTACCTTATTATGTAGTCCCTGGGAAATAAAGCACAAGTTATATATATATATATATATATATATATATATATATATATTTTTATTATACATACCTTTTAATCCACTGAATGCCTGCAGTTCTGGTCCTGACCGCCTAGGCGATGACGTTGTAAGGCGATTTGCAAGGTCTCCTGGGATGTCGTTTCCTGTATCTCAGGAGTCCTTTGGTATCCTGTAATCGTGGGACTTGGAAACCGGAAATGACGCGAATGGGAGGTGTTTCAACCATTGTTATGGCAACCTGTACTGCACACGTCACGCCGAGTAGTGTCTGTACTGCACATGCGCAAGAACGAGTGGTGCATACTGGGATAGCCAGCAGCACGATTCCAGGAAATAAATACCTGCGGGCTTCAGATGCCCACAGCCATCATGGCGCTGCCTGCTTCCGAGATCCTGGTAAATGTTTACAATTTTCTAAGTAATTACAATGCTTTTAATATTGAATTATTCCAATTGTTAATTGTAAGGTCATCGTGGATCTGCTTTTAACAAAAATTTTTTAGGGGGATTGGAACTCCGCTTTAACCTCCCTGGCGGTATTCCCGAGTGTAGGTCAGGGTTAACGTTCAGTACCAGAAGCGGTAACTCCGAGCTACACTCGGGAATACACTGCAGCGTTGCTCAGGGACTCTTGCACTTACCTTGTCCTGCGCTCCCGCGATGTGTCCCCTGCAGCGTCCCCGGCCATCTCCTCCGGCCGATGCTGGCATCCGTCTTCCGGGTTACGTTCCCTGCAAGCATCGAGACGTACGGGACGTATGGGGGATGAAACCAGCGGGAAATTCAAACATTTTAAAAAGGAAATTCACTAAATACACTAAAATCACATAGTAAAACATTACTGTATCAAACCATTTCACATACATTTTGTCCCGAGTGCTTTGTCCTGTCCCCTGTCTGCATTTTTACTGTTCTTTGTGCCTGGAAACTGAGAAATGTCCATGGCGTCCAAAAAGCGTCCATTTAGGTCAAAAGCGGTTTTAGACCGGCTAGAGAACAGCGATAGTAAATCAGAACCACTTGCAGAATTGAGTGATAATGATTCGTGGGGGAAATTCGTCATCAGACACTGAAAACGATTTTGCGACTTTGCTCAGTGATGTGCGAACTTGGCGCTCTATTTCAAATTTCAGTGTTTTTGGTTTGATTACATTATTGAATTACATTTATTATTATTATATTATTATTTTTTATGATCATTTATTATATTAGAATTTATGATTTCGTGTTTCAAGTTTTATCATATCCGGAATGTTTACTAGACTCTTGTTCGGATAGATTTCAGTGAGTTATTCCTAAAAATGATGTGTTTTTGGTTTGATTACATTATTGAATTAAATTTATTATTATATTATTTTTATGATTATTTATCATATTATAATCTATGATTTTGTGTTTCAAATTTTATCCTACCCGGGATGTTTACTAGGCTCTTGTTCGGGACAGATTTCAGTGAATTCCTAAGAATTACAGGCCTAAAATAAAAAAAGAACATATTTCCATGCAAAAAAATGTACCGCTTTGAGCACAGAAATACTGACACAATCAAACCGCTAGGAAGGTTAAGCTTGACAATAAGACCTAGAATCTGATTGGTTTCTATGCAGAGCTGCAGCAGATTTTGCACTCTCCAGTTTTAACCCTGGTTGACACTAGTGTGGGCCATGTGGCCTGTGTTTGCCTGGGCACGGCTGCCTATTCATTTGAATGGGTTTCTGTGCCCACGCAAGAAAAAAGGTGCATGCACCTTCTCCAAAGCGCATCCGCACAGAAACCGCATAGTCTTTTTGACCACATGGTTTCCATGCAGTTCCCACACCCGCGACCGTGCTGTGGGATTAGATGCATGGAGGTGACTGACCCCCCCACGTCTCGCAAGAGAAACACGATATGGCTGCGTGTGGTTGTGAGTTCGGGAATCACATCAATTCCTACAACCAGCCCACAACATGAGGGCTAGTGTGAACCTAGTCTCAGTAAACCCCCCCCCCCCCCCCCCCCCCCCCCCCCCCCCCCCCACAAACCTGCACAGGTGTCAAATTGGGACCAGTGGCTGTGTCCGTGCAGCTGCTGCATCCCAAAACAAATGAATGGGACTGACTGCACACAGCCGAATGGAACATCTGTGCATCCCATGCGAGAAAACAAGGATATTGCACGGGGTGAATGGATACGTATATGCTCATGTGAATGAGGCCCTCATGTGGAAGCATTAATACACAATGGATTTTTCTCGTAATATATCTAATAAAGGACAGCTTCAGCCTAGTTATTTGGGCATCTAGTGAAAGGTTGGGCTTGATTTGTAAGAGATCCATTTGTGTTCATTGCTGTCCACGGTACTGGTTATAAAAGTTTTGGTTGGAGTCCTGCTTTAAGAATTCATAAGTAAAAAATAAGAATTTGCCTTTTCCTGGAAGCCCACTTGAAAAAAAAAACAAAAAAAAAACAGTTGCAGTATAAATAAAAGCATCCCAAGAATGATTAAGTACCTGTCCAAAGTTCCAAGGAACAGGGTCCATTGAGTCTTTGGTGCCTTGAAAGATGATCCCGTACTGACACTGAATATATTCCATCCGTTCATCTTCCTTCTCTAGGTATACAGAGTCCTCTAGGAAAAGGAGATAGAGTTATACTGAATGGAGGACCCTGGCACAATTTGTATTACAGTGACCTTAACATAAATGTCAAACAAATCAACATGCTTAAAATAAATTGAATGGGAATTTGCGGGAGTGAAGAACAACTGGGAGAATAATATCACGGCAGTGCACATATACACAGGTAATACAGATGGTAGCTGCTTGTGAAACACTTTTTTTTTATGGCTTACAAAGCAACAAAATTTCATTTTATTAAAAAAAAAAAAAAACAATGAAATATAGCAAAAGGCATGCAGTTATTACTGTTATTGGTTTCTGAATTTCATAAATCATAAACAGGAACAACTAGCTGGTTTTCCCATCCATTGCCAGAGTTGTTTTTGGTTTCCTGTGCACTTTGCGATGATTCTTTCGAAAAAAAATATAAAAAATGAACTGCAATGCTTCCCTATTTTGCTATTTTGTCTATGTTGCCTTTGGTTGGAGAGGGGGTGGAGAGGTTGAGCTGTGGAGGTGGGGGAGGGAGAGCTGTGGAGGAGGGAGAGGGAGAGCTGTGGAAGGTGGGAGGGGGGCAGAAAGTAAGCCGTGGGGGGGGGGGGGGGGACAGGGAGACTTGTGGATGGGGGGGGAGAGGAGGAGCTGTAGAAGGTGACCTGTGGATGGGGGGTAGAGAGGGTGACCTGTGGATGGTGTGGTGAGCTGTGGATGAAGGGGGGCTGTGAATGGGGAGAGAAGGTGGACTGTGGATGAGGAGAGGGAAGGTAAGCCTTGACCACACCAATTATTTCTCTTTCCCCAGGAATGGCGGGATTGGGGGATTCCTGTACTCTGAGAAAAAAGCCCCATGTAAATGCATGGACAAACATGGAAAAACACACACCAAGAGCAGCAGATCTCAGTAGAAAAGCATACCTCATGCTTTAAATAACACCAAAGCTTTGGAGACTTATAGGTCCTCTTTCTCAAGGTGACAGACCATAGAGAAAGGGGAACTCAAAATCTACAAAACGTCAAATTTTTTACCGCATGATATATGTTGCTACTGAAATCCCTGTAAGAAAAATTGAGACAAACCACCCCGTCTTCCTTATAGGATTTTGAGACTAGCAAAACCCTATGGGGACACCGCTCTCCTGGATTTTGCTGGATATTATGCCGCTTGTCACTTAACAAGAGTAATAGACTGGTGCCACCACGGTCAGTTCAAACAGTGAGTTTTGATAGAGGAGGCAGTACCCGAGATCCTGCGTAAGGCACTTCCCTGGTGTATCGATAATGTTCCCCTGGAACTACCATTGGAGCAGACCTTATCCTCGGTAACCCTTCATTCTGGACAGGAATAGAAGGCTCTCGTTTTAAAGAGCTAGCTTCTGCCCATATACTACAAGCTCGCCAGATTGCTCTGGGGAACTCTTGGCCCATGACCCACACAATGGCACTCTTCTTCATCTTCAGTCCCTGGACTTGGTACATACTGTTTGGATTGCACATCTCTTACTTTTAAATAAATGACCAATTAAAAAAAAATTAGATCTACTCTTCTTGGTGTGTGGTGTCATTTTTGCCTACGTTTTTTTTCTTTTATGTCTGAGTCCCATTTCCTTTCCCCAGAGACACAGCAGAAAGTAAGAGGAGATCCCTTCATAGACAAGGAGATATCCTGTTTTATACAGTTGTCACTGAACAGGTTTCCCCACTGGAAAATTTTCTCTTTGCCTTCTGTTCCTGTGACAACCCAGAGATATTGGATTTTCCATCAACTTTATGTCCAGGAGACAATATTCACCAGAACCAGTAGAGAAACTGAATCTCCCTAGCAGGGGCACAAGCAGCAACAAAAGCCTGACAGAGTTTCTAAGACTTCTGCACACACTTTAAAGCCTAACTTGACCTTTGTCCCTTGGTCTTCTGTCTTCAGTTCAGTAGTAATGGTCCTACTCTGATGACCTCTAAGCCCCCCCACTTGCCCACCACTCCAACCACTGTAATCCTTTGATGTGATGAGGGTTAATAGAACTGAGTAGCTGTCACAAGCACTCAAAGGTGCTCAACTATGCCCACCCTTTCCACCGAGTTGCTCCATTCACAGATGCCATACAACATCTTTATGAATGAAACAGGATCTATAAGTGGAAGATGGGTAGATAATTCAAAGGACTGCCCCCTCCAGGGGCGGACTGACCATTTGGAAACTCGGGCACTGCCCAAGGGCCCGGGGTCAGTAGAGGGCCCCATGAAATGCCCCTGGTACCTTTTTCATAGGCTTTTTTGAGTTTGGGCAAGGACACAGGGGCCCCATGATCCCCTATTGCCTGGGGGCCCCATGAGTTGTCAGTTCGCGCCTGGCCCCCTCTATTCATAGATATTGTTTCATTCATAGAAGCTGTAGTATAGCTTTTAGTAGAGAAATAAGGGGGCTACCATTGCTGACCTTCTGGTTTTTGCTATTTTCCAAACCTTGACAATCACGCAGATCAGGAAGTCAGTATTGAAGCCAATAAGGGCTCATGTACACTGGAGCTCCTAAACTGACGTTCAGGAGCTGTTGAGCATTTTTTTCAGCAGCCCCTGAACTCTCCTTTATGTTTTCCTATGTGTCCATGTACACATTGTTGTTTACAGGCAGTTGGGTTTACAGTCGTTTTTGTGAACGCACCAAAATTGCGTTCAGGAGTAGATTTTACCGGCGTTTCAAGCGCCAAACGCGAGTAAACTATTGTAAACGCGGTTAACCACATTTAAAAGCGTTTAGACGCGTTTTTTGACAGGCCCATACCCAGATGCTGTCCAGAGCCTTTTTTTATTCATCAAAAATGCATGCAAAGCGTTTTCCATGTATTCAAATGGACCCAGTATACTAGTGCAGTCAGTTCCAGGTTTCGCGTGAAGGAAAAAATGGTAGAACATGCTGCATTGTGCTCATGATGGGATCCATAGTGAATACAACCAGAAACGATAGGTAATCTCAATACATACTGCTCCCTCTGCTTCTGCTCTCTCTATTTCTCTCAAAATGTCTGAAATAGTTAATTATTTACTATTTTTCAGTACATTCTGGGCATTTGGGAGGGTCTCCTGAGGTTATCTTTTTAAAACACTTCTAAACGCAAATGCGCATAAACACGGTATGAAAACGCAGCTAAACTGACGTTTTTTAACCTACGCTTTCTAGCAGGCAGTTTCCATCGTTCAGAAGAGTTTTCCAAATGCTCTGTGTACATGAGCCCTTGGTAATCACACAATTAGCATTTTAAAAGGAGAGCTTGGTAACACCAACCTCCATGTGACAGTAAACCTGTCAAAAACCTGAACAATCCGAACTGGGCGTATGATCAAAATTTCAGAAGCAGAGGTTACTCTCAGTGGCAACTGCATACCAAGTCAGGAGATCAGGAATTTGAAATTACATACCAGTTATAACTTTCCTGCAAATGTCAAACTTGTTCCCTTCTCCTTCTTCCTTTCCAAATCTCCCTACTGACCAAGATAGGCAGCTTCGCAGACCAACAAGGAGGTTCAAAAGGCAGAACCAAGCTTGAATTTTACATAAATATATGATAATCGCAACATCAGCTGTTTATAACTCTGGATCAATTAATCATTTTGACTTGCAGTTTTCACAGAAGGGAACCTCTTAGTTTTTGTTCATTGTATAGTCATCTTGTTTGTGATATGTTTAATTTAAAGAGCAACTCAGGGCTACACTATCAAGCAGGCACAAAAGTAATTACATTTAGTGAACTATCAAGCAAAGAACAAAAGTAATTAAAGTGGTTGTAAACCTCTGACATCAAATATAAACAAAGCATATCCCTCTATAGCAGGTATCGGCAACCTTAAAGCAGAGATCCACCCAAAAGGGGAAGTTCACCCGCTTTTAAGCCTTTGTCCCCTGCTCCCCATTAAGGATTGGGACCTTTGCCAGAGAAGAGAGCTCTCGTTTAACATCAATCAAGAAACATCTAATGGACTTGAGAGCCAAGGCAATCTGTTTGCTCAGGCAATTGGACTCTGCTTAAACCAAGGACTTTGCAAGTATTCTGCCTTCTGAACTCCTTTCTTTTATTTCTCTGTTGTTTTATTGCTCTCTTTATATCTTTGTAACATCTTTTTCTGTAAATATTTTAATTGCACCAGTATGACCTTTTTAGTAATAAATCCTGTTCTGAAAATTGTTGAAACTGTCTCTAAAGCTTTTAATGCAAACTAAAGAATCCCTGTCTCTTGAGGAGTGCTGCTGTATGTAATAATCCTCTGAACATACTTGTCTGTGGTGACAGTGTGTGTTACAGACGCTTATGCTAAAATCATAGTGTTATTGTTAGGATTTGTGAGTTACCTCCTTCTCTGTAAAAAGGTGGTGGCAGAGTGAAGGGTTAATTGCGTAATTAACCTAACCCAGTAACAATCGCTCTCAAGCTGCTGGCACATAGACTGTGGTCCCGCGAGCTGGAAAATCTTTGCAGGGTACCTGGCAGTACTAGGGTCGTCGGTTTGAAACCCAACCATGGCACCACCTGCCTGGAGTCTGCATGTTCTCCCTGTGCCTGCATGGGTTTCCTCCAGGTACTCCAGTTTCCTCCCACACTCCAAAGACATGCTGGTAGGTTAATTGGATCCTGTCTAAATTGTCCCTAGTATGTGTATGTATGAATGTGAGTCAGGGACCTTAGATTGTACACCCCTTGAGGGTTAGGGACTGATGTGAGTGTACAATATATATATATGTAAAGTGCTGCGTAAATTGACAGCACTATATAAGTACCTGTAATAAATAATAATAATCTCCTTACACCATATGTCACAAAATGGCAGAAGGCTACATCACTCCAGTGATCCTATCACTGGATAAAAATTGCCAGCAACAGGATCACAAAGGAGACTTTTTCCTGCTCCTCTGGAGTTGCTTCCTCTCCGGCCTAAATACTGCAGAATCTCTCTTGCCATTAAGGAACGAGCAATGGTGCAATGCCCTTCAGGGTCAGCACGCAAGGAAGCAAGGACATAGAACATAGACGTGGGACATAGAAGATCTCACTTCTCTCTCAACTATCTTATGGATCACAAGGTGCCCACCAACAACAGGATTCCTAGTATGACATGGGCCTTAGGGCACACAGAAATCACAAGCCCTTTACCAAACCTCCAACAGTCTTGCAAACACTGGCATGAAAATCGCCATTGAATCCAATGATGAACTGAATGCTCTAAACTCAAAAGTGAATTTCCCATTTTGATGGATTTCATTGTCCATGATGAAGCCTTTTTGAATTACTGTATAATGTGCCTTTGGTTTGTAGTGTATCACCCAAACATTTGCCAGCTTGTTAATCCAAACTTCACTCACTTACCTGGGCACCAGGGGTTAAAAATTAGATAGCATTCCCCAACACTGCAGGTATTCTCCTCAGTTCCATTAGAGGTCTCCAAGGTGAGGCTGTAGTGTCCAATGCGGGCATCGGGTGGGGAGCGGATGGAAAGAACAAGGGAATCTCCTTCACTGCTGACCACTGCAGCACTCCATACTCCATCTTCCAGAGCATCTGTGACCTTGAAGTGAGCTTCTGTGCCAGATTCCTCAGATGGTTGGGGCCCTGGAGGACCAGAAAATCTTAGTCAGTAAAGTATATGTAAAAGTTAAAGAGAAATTCAAGGTCTCAAGTAAAAGCTTTCAGGGAGACATTTAAGCTGCTTATACACTAGAAGATTTGTCTGTCTTGGGTTGAACGAAAAAAATTCTAACAGATTCCCCCGTACAACTCAAAAAAAACAAATCTTCGACTGAGGCTATTGTATTTTGAATATAGTGGGTATTGCCAAACAATGACTGCAGATGACTGGCTTCAGTCACTGTTCAGCTGAAAATTATTCACCCAGCTCCCTCAATTTTGAATGTCGGGCGGGTACTGTGCCAACAGGGCACCCGACTGCTCAGATTTTGTCTTGTTCATCAGACACTGGACTAGATCAGTATATAGGCAACTTTAAAGCTAAGTTCACTGGTTTGTTTTCTAAATTCCAGTTTCCCTATGTACCAATATACCATTAACCACTTGCCCTCCTGAGGATTTACCCCCCTTCCAGGCCATTTTTTGCATTACGGCACAGCATTACATTAACTGACAATTGCATGGTCATGCAACGCTGCTCACAAATTCACATCCTTTTTTCCCATGAATTGAGCTTTCTTTCGGTGGTATTTGATCGCCTGTGAGTTGAGTTTTTTTATTTTTTGTGCTATAAGCAAAAAAAGACCAACATTTTTTAGAAAAAAAAAAGACTTTTTGCTATTAAACATGCCCAGTAAAAAAATTTTAAAAAATCAAATTTCGTCATAAATTTAGGCCAAAATGTATTCTGCGACAGATCTGTGCTAAAAAAAATCCCGATACATGTAAATTAATTGGTTTAAGTAAAAGTTATACCGTTTACAAATGGCAGTATAGCTACTGGGATTTTTTTTTCTACCAGTGATGACGGCAATCAGTGCAACTCATAGTGGGACTGCAGCAGACATTCTCACACTGGGGGGAACTAATTTGGTGTCACTGACATCCCCAATGACACCTATACAGTGATCAGTGCTAAAAAAAAGCACTGACACTGTAATGGCACTGGGCAGGAAGGGGTTAATGTGAAGGGTGATCAAAGGGTTAACTATGTGCTGGGAGTGTTTTACTAGGGGGCAGGGGCGCTTTACTGTAAGCACACTGATCGGGATGGCTGTGCTGTGCACAGCCATCCCGAGCAGTGTGCTTGAGCTGACAAGGAGGAAGACTATTTGTAAACAAAACAGTCTTCCTCCCCTTCGGTGAGTGTTGGTAATCACCAGGTTATTACTGGCCGGGACCTGGTGATTACTGGCCGGGACCTGGTGATTACTGGCTATGCGTGATCAAGCACTGACGTCACCATGTATGCCGTTACCACATGCTGGACCATGTGACCGCAACTACGTGATCTGTTGCTGAGAGCGGCTGGTGAGACGCCACTGTGAGAGCTGGAGATTGTTTGCACCTATATATTACTGAATGCTGGTTTTTACCTTACGCATTGTGAGTTTATTTTTAAGGGGGGTATTTTAATACAATAAATAGTCAAACGATATTATGCTATGGCGAGTGTTGTTTATTTACCTACATATGGAATTGGATTATACTTACTTTGATGGAATCTAAATGGATCAACCATCTGATGAATGAATATTTTCTGGATTAATCGGTGTTTTGATGAAACCTCCACATCTACTGATATTTGATTGAAATGCTGATTAAACACCAGCATCTGGTGAGTTAGCACTTTGATGGGGTGTTGAGCACAAAGGAATTCACGATTGTGGCGATTATATATTTTTTGAAGAAAAATGATATATAGACTACACTTTATTATGGACTTATAATTTTTGATGTCTCACATTTTTGGCAAATATTAATTTTTTTTTGGTGGCAGTTTGTATTTATTCATATATTTATTTATTTATATATACTTTAAGGGCATATATAGTTTTGAGAGCGCTGTTTATGGTATTTCTATTTATTTGTAAGCCAAAGTAATTAACCTTAGGTCCACTGGTTACAGAGAGGCTGAACTAAATTTAGCAGCCTACTCTAAACTAGGAGGGTGCTACACTTTATTGCCAAAAAATATCCTAATCACTTGGTAGAGACCTCTTCTTCCTACCTTACCTAAGTCAATTCTGAGCTCCCCCTCCACTAATTTACCTACATTACTACAGGATCCCAAAAGAGTTTTGACAAGACTCAGGGTCTTTGGTGTTCCTTCTCTTTTATGACTTAACCCCAACGTAGTTCCCTACAGACCACAACTATTACTAATCCCTAATTGTATTGTATTACAACTTTAAAACACAAATGAAAACTGATGGAAATAAGAGTCTTTTCTAAATTAAAAAAATGTTTTTTGCTGTAATGGTGCCTTACTTGGGATGGCCAGGTTTCGAGGCAAGCCATTCACATGGAATGAGCATGACCCCATCCAGCTTATTAGAGTCTGCTGTATTTGTGGGCACTCTACGCTACAATGCTTTAGATACCCCCTTGGTGGCTGATCTCAGAGTTATGCTTTGGATATCCGGAAGATGCAAAAACAAAAGCATCTGGTCAGGGGCGGACTGACAACTTATGGGGCCCCCCGGGCAATAGGGGATCATGGGGCCCCTGCGTCCTTGCCCAAACTCAAAAAAGCCTATGAAAAAGGTACCAGGGGCATCTCATGGGGCCCCCTACTGACCCAGGGCCCTCGGGCAGTGCCCGAGTTTCCAAATGATCAGTCCGCCCCTGCATCTGGCAGAAATGTCCATGCATGTTTATGTTAAAATACTTCATAGAATATCTTTGCAACAGTCAGATCTATTGTCCACCATCTCATGTTTATGTTACATTCTAATGTAGCACATACTGGTACTTTAATTCCAAGATTTTTAAAGAAGGTCTAATGATCATGGTGTATTTTTAGAATGCAGTGCTGTTGAAATCACTAAATACAAGCAATTTAAACTGTAATCTACATTCCTTTGAATGTTATTTCCCAAGACAGTTGCCCAGCACGCAGTATCAGTTTCACCCATGGCATCATTGGCAGAAAATAAAATAAAACCATTCTGCATATTATAGTATTAGATATTAAAAGCATGAAATATTGTGAGTCACAGGTGGTGGGCTGCAGGGTGTTTAAGAAATTGCAGTAATTAGTTTTGTAGGACGTGTAAGGCAATTAAGAAATGGAACGATATAGCATTAATTTTCTTGCTGCTACACAAATAAACAAATGAACATCAATGATATGTGTAATCAGCATGTTCAAATTATCAATTATATTTTCCAAGCCCTCAGGGCTAGCTGAGTGACATCAGGGCTCAACTTGATTTTATTATATATGCGCCAGCATTCGTAGCAGTAAATTTCATGGTAGATAAGTACCATTAAATAGTCTACTTAAAGCCTAACAATCAACCTCTCATTGCTCCCTAATGATCTCTTAAGACAGGGCTCAACAAAACCCATGCGCCAGGTCACCATGGCGACTAGAAATTGCGTTATGGCGCCTGGGCTTTTGTCAGCCCATTCACTGTTGGCACCAGGCGTGAATAATTCCTATAGTCCCACACCCCGAAAATGTAGTTCCAGGTATGGGGCAGCTGATTTAGTTTTAACATCTAAAAACAAAAATAAAAAAAACAATTAGCTCTACTGCTTACTTGCAGCAGAGCTAAAGTTTTTTTTCCTTCTTCACATACTGGCACTCTAGACTCCAGGCTGCTGTGTGCGGGGTGTCAATGCTCTCCGTGAACAACGGCTCCTAGACGCAGCCTTTTCATCAGCCGGTCTCTGAGCGCTGCTCCAGGGGTATGACTGAGAAGTGACAGGATGGCGGACATGGGGAATGGAAGGACAAGCCTGACTGCTGGCTCCCAACTCCACCAGAGCAGTTCCAGGGAGATAAGTGTACGGGCTCTGACCTCCCTCCAATCTCCTCGGAGGCGTGTCCGAAACACCCGTTCCACTCCTGATCTTACCCATCAGGGATCGGATCCGGGTCAGCGATCAGGGCGGGAGATTGAGGTGTGTGTGTTTTTAGCTGATCTCGGGGTGGCAGAAGACAGGAGGCAGAAGATCACAGCCAGTCAACTGCCATGCCCTAGGGGGAGAGGTGAGTGAGCCATGGACACACAGCAAAGTCTGTAGTGGGGTTGGAATTTGTGAAGAGTGGGGGGGGGGTGGTAAAGGGGGGGACTTGTGAAGAGGTGAGAGCTGGGGGGGGGGGGTTGTGAAAGTTGGTGAGAGGCATAATATTAAGGCGTTTGCCCATATAACAAGTTTTTATTGTCATTCTTTCTGGACAGCCTATAACCCTGACATTGAGGGAACCATGAATGCCAACATGTACTGTGACATACTGAAGAAGAGCATGATCCCCTCCCTTTTGAGACTGGGCCATAGAGCAGTATTCCAACATGATAACGACCCCAAACACACCTTCAAGATGACCACTGCCTTGCTAAAGAAGCTGAGGACTGGCCAAGCATATCTCCAGACCTAAACCCTATTGAGCATCCTTAAAACAGAAGGTGGGGAAGCGCAAGGTCTCTAACATCCACCAGCTCTGTGATGTCATCAAGGAAGAGTGGAAGAGGACTCCAGTGGCAACCTGTGAAGCTCTGGTGAACTCCATGCCCAAGAGGGTTTAGGCGGTGCTGGAAAATAATGGTGGCCACACAAAATATTGACACTTTGGGCCCAATTTAGACATTTTCACTTAGGGGTGTACTCACTTTTGTTGCCAGCGATTTAGACATTAATGGCTGTGTGTTGAGTTATTTTGAGGGGACAGCAAATTTACATTGTTATACAAGCTGTACACTCACTACTTTACATTGCAGCAAAGTGTCTTTTCCTCAGTGTTGTCACATGAAAAGATATAATAAAATATTTACAAAAATGTGAGGGGTGTACTCACTTCTGTGAGATACTGTATATATATATATATATATATATATATATATACATACATACATACACGCACACACACATACGTATACACACACACACTATTGGGACGCCTGCCTTTACATGTACATGAACTTTAATAGCATCCCAGTTTTAGTCTGTAGGGTTCAATATTGAGTTGGCCCACACTTTGTAGCTATACCAGCTCTGGAAAAGCTGCTCACAAGGTTTAGGAGGGTGTCTATGGGAATACTTGACCATTCTTCCAGAAGTGCATTTGTGAGGTCAGGCACTGAACTCAGACGAGAAGGCCTGACTCGCAGTCTCTGCTTTAATTCATTCTAAAGGTGTTCCATCGGGTTGAGGTCAGGACTCTGTGCAGGCCAGCCAAGTTCCTCCACCCCAAACTCGCTCATCCATGCTTTTATGTACCTTGCTTTGTGCACTGGTGTGCAGTCATGTTGTAACAGAAATGGTTTCCATAAAGTTGGGAGCATGAAATTGTCCAAAATGTCTTGGTATGCTGATGCCTTAGACGGTTTAGGAGATATTACCCCTTTCTGATAGCCGGCGCATGCGTTGTGAAGGAACGCTATACCCGTGCTATTCCTTCAGAGCACTGTGCTGTGGCCCGGGACTCCCGCACCATTGCGGCTCAGCCAGTCAGCCAGCCAGAGCTTGCTAGCACATTATGCCTTTACCTTGCAGGAGGTGTCTTTTTCTTTTTTTTTTGGATTTGGTTTACTACCGCTTTAAGAGCTCCCTTCATTGGAAATAAGGGGCCAAGCCCAACCCCTGTAAAAACCCCACACCATAACCCCCCCCCCCCCTCCACCAAATTTGGCACACTGCAGTCAGGCAAGTACTGTTCTTCTAGCAACCTCCAAACCCAGACACATCTATCAGACTGAAAGACAGAGAAGCATTATTTGTCGCTCCAGAGTCCTACTCTGGAGTGCAGTGGCGGAGTGCTTTACACCACTGCATCCGATGCTTTGCATTGCACTTGGTGTTGTAAGGCTTAGATGCAGCTGCTCAGCCATGGAAACCCATTCCTTGAAGCTCTCCTACACACTGTTGTTGTGCTAATCTGAAGGCCACACAAACTTTGGAGGTCCTTAGCTATTGACTCTGCAGACAGTTGGAATCGTGCACTTCAGCATGCACTGACCCTGCTCTGTCATTTAACATGGCCTACCACTTTGTGGCTGTTTTGCTGTTCCCAGTTGCTTCCACTTTGTTATAATACCACTAACAGTTGACCGTGGAATATTTAGTAGCAAGGAAATGTCATGGATGGACTTATTGCACAGGTGGCAACCTGTCACGGGACCACGCTTGAATTCACTGAGCTCCTGAGAGCGACCCATTCTTTCACAAATGTTTGTAGAAGCAGTCTGCATGCCTTGGTGCTTGATTTTATACAACTGTGGCCATGGAGGTGATTGGAACACCTGAATCCAATGACTTGGAGGGGTGTCGCAATACTTTTGGCAATATAGTGTATAAACACACACACTATATATATATATATATATTCCCATTAATACTCATACCAAAATTAGCTGAAGGCATTCTACTTTAATGCCAAAAATACATCCTAATCACTTGGAAGAGACCTCTTTCTCATACCTTACCTGAGTGGAAAACGTTAATCAGTTCAAGATCTGGGGTCTTCGGTCCTGCTCCCCTTTTACAACTTAACCTCAACATAGTTCCTGTGAGACCACAACTTTAATCACTTTATCTTCATGCCATTTAAGACGTGAATATATTAGATTAGATTAGATACAGCAGAAGGGTAATTTTTATGCCCAACATTAACAGAAGGGTAACTGTAACCAGGGCTCTGTTTTCTTAGAGAATAAGTGCAGGAGCCACCCCTTGTCTCCACCATCTACCCACCCCCAAGCACCCTCCCTTGGTTCCACCCCCACCCACCTCCTAATACCACCAGTAAATTGTATGGAATTTGTTAATAAGCTGTAAAATTGACCACCTGCAGCCAACAACAATATACCCCCCTTTCAGCCGAGGATCCCCCCAGCAACAATCGACCCCCAACAGCAAAATACCCCCCAGCAACAATAGATCCCCAATATCAAAATACCCCCCCAGCAAAAACAGGTCAGCCAGCATCAATAGACCCTCCAGCAGCCATCAATAATAGTACCCTCCCTCAATTGTAGATCTATCCCAGCAAAATGTTACCCCCCAGCAACAATAGATTCTCCAGCACACTCCAGCACCCCTTGCTAATACATACATTTAGTGCTGGAGGTGTTAGTACTACATTCCCCCACGTTCCTGCTAAAAAAAATCCCTGTCTGTAACTACCGTATTTTTCGCTCCATAAGACGCACTTTTTTTCCCCCAAAAAAGGGGGGAAAATGTCAGTGCGTCTTATGGAGCGAATGTAAAGCGGCCGGTCCGATATTTCTGCCGCCACCATGTCAGAATACCGGGCCGGCCGCTCAGCTGTTCTCTCCTGCAGGACCTTACCTGTTCCTCACTCCAGCGCTGCAGTCTTCCCGCGGCGGCTTCTGTGATAGCCGGGTGCCCACTGCGCATGCGCGAGAAGCGCATGCGCGAGAAGCGCCGCGCTTTGTGAATGGTCCGGTGTCTTCTGGGACACGACAGGTCCCAGAAAGCTCCGGGCCATTCACAAAGTGCAGCGCTTCTCGCATGCGCAGTGGGCACCCGGCTGTCACAGAAGCCGCCACGGGAAGAAGAAGGAAGGACAACTCCACGGAAGTGGGAGCGGGTACCTGTCAAATTCAGGTACCCGTTCCCCCTCCCTCCCCAAAGGTCCGCAGTCTCTGGTCATCCCCTGTACTGTGTCCGCAGTCTCTGGTAATCTCCTTTACTGTCCACAGTCTCTGGTCATTCCCTGTACTGTGTCCGCAGTCTCTGATCATCCCCTGTACTGTGTCTGCAGTCTCTGGTCATCTCCTGCACTGTGTCCGCAGTCTCTGGTCATCTCCTGTACTGTGTCCACAGTCTCTGGTCATCTCCTGTACTGTGTCTGCAGTCTATGGTCATCTCCTGTACTGTGTCCGCAGTCTCTGGTCATCTCCTGTACTGTGTCCGCAGTCTCTGGTCATCTCCTGTACTATGTCCGCAGTCTCTGATCATCCCCTGTACTGTGTCTGCAGTCCCTGGTCATCTCCTGCACTGTGTCCGCAGTCTCTGGTCATCTCCTGTACTGTGTCTGCAGTCTATGGTCATCTCCTGTACTGTGTCCGCAGTCTCTGGTCATCTCCTGTACTGTGTCCTGGCAGTCCTGTACTAGTCATCCCCTGTACTGTCTGCAGTATCTGGTCATCTCCTGTACAGTGTCGCTGCAGTCCATTGGTTTAGAATATTTTTTTTTCTTGTTTTTCTCCTCTAAAACCTAGGCGCGTCTTATGGTCAGGTGTGTCTTATGGAGCGAAAAATACGGTAATTAGTAGCCAGTTTGCATTGGTGGCTGCAGATTTGGGTAGACGACAAAGGCACATGTGCACCCTGAACCTAGGATCCAATGACCTCTATAGAGACCCAGAGACTGATTTGGAGACAATCACACATATTTGTAGACAACACAAGATACGTACACTTTAAATGTATGTACAGTCAAAACTTTTCTTTTTAGCTTTGGATAGATCAGGAAAGGTTTCTTTCCAATAATTTTTAGACATTTCTTTTACAAAACCAGCAATCATGCAATCCAATCTCTCTTTACAATGACAGTTAAATGTCATTATAATTATAAACCTTCCAGAAATATAATTATCCAAATAACATCTTAAATCATTCTTATACAAGAAAAAATCCAATATATCGCTACTGAAAAAATAATTATAACCATATAATATAACTTATAAATAAACCCACACACGTTCAGCGTCTTGCCTTATAAATTAAATCCTACATAGATTTCGTGCATCCATAAACAATATAATAACTGGCTGATCACCAAGAACACCCTGGTACCCTCCCATATAGAACACACCAGCCAGTCTCCCCCTCTAAGAAAATAATCTATTCAGACAGAGCTAAACCCGGGGTAACAAGCCACCTATTCCAACTTTTTCCAACTTATTTTGGGCAGGCTCTGTGTTGATAAATTAGCTTTTCTTAGGTAAACTATGATTTATTTGTGTTTTCAGGTCCTCCAAGGTGGGGGAATACGGGGATAACCATTTTTGAGCAATTAATTTGCAGGCTTGAAGAAAAAAACTTGAGTAATAGGGACATATGTATTTTCTGGTAAAGGGGAAAGGTTTAGAATTTAATTGCTATCCAGGAAACCCTTGAAAAGGATTTCTCTTCACTTATTATAATGGTAACAAAAGTTTCAGTAGACACAGAGTGAAGGAAAATCTTAACCAGACACAGACAGTTATAAAAAAAATATTTCTGTCTGTTTTGCTGTTAGAGAGATTTCTCTTCACCAGACAGGAAGGGCAAATCTTCAATAGTGCCCTGGATAGCACTGATATCAGCAAAAAATTCACAAGGGGTTCTATTCCTCCCCCCCCTCCCTCCCCCCCCAAAAAACAAGTGTAGTGCTACCCCCTTAGGAGTTGCAAAGAGATATCGGGTCTCCCTATAGTCCTGCACAGCCAGGCAACACGCAGGTCCACATAGGCTTGCATCCAGAGTCAGAAATCAGTTCTTGAGCTTTGGTTTTGTTATTTTATTTAGGGGATTTGGAACTGGGATAGGGTTAGGGGTGTACAGGATGCCCAAGGGAACTGAAGAACTCAGGACAACTCTCTGGAACTATTTAAAAGCCTTCACTGCAACACAGCCTCTGTTGGAGAGATAGCCAGCATCTCCTGATGTACCACCCCAGACCCTAGATGAACTCCTCTTCCTTTACCCAGCAATCTGGAGGTATCCCTGAACAGGGGATCCGGTTCCTAATGATTTAAGAAATGGACAGTCCCAGGTCGGTGGCGAATCTGGTTTCCCACCAGAATGCTCCTTCCCGTATCCTCCAAGAGGGTGCAAGGGTACTCACTCAGATCCTCTCCTGTTCCGCTGATGGGTTGGTGGCTGCTTCCAGGCCTTTTAGCTGTGCCGCTCCTTCCTTGCTGTACAGGTGGTCCTCACTCTGGGGGGCCACTGAAGCTCTGAGCTTTCCTCCTCTCCAGCTCCACTGCCTGTAGGTGAGCCCCTCTCTCCATCTGGGCCCCCTCCCAGGCTCCTGCCTTCAGCCTCACATCTTTCTCACTGTCTTCCACCCAAACTCTCCTGCAGTTGAGCAGGCTTAGACCTCTTAAAGGCTGCCCCAGCCCCTTTCCAAGCCTCCTGTTGGGGATTGGCCAGGATTCTTCAAGAAATCAAGCCAGACACTCTTCAGATCTGCCCACTGCTTCTAGACTTTTCTGAAAGGATCTAGAGCAGGGGGAAATTCCAGAGGACTGGTCTGCAGAGCCTCTCAGCTCCTCACCGCATATTGACCTCCTGACTATTGCACCCAGGCTGCTACTCAGCCCTTCTCTCTAACAATCAGGACTCTAGCTCCCCCTAGCTAACTAGGAGGGCGCTACACAAGTTATAGCTGGATATACACTTTCAGCACTGCAATTACTTTAGAAAGATTAAAACAAGGACAGGTTTCCATTAACAAAGGCTCATGAAGGTTACAACCTGAGCTCAAAAAGCACAGATTGTCTATGTTGTAGAGAACATCTAATTCCAATTGTGCCTTGGCAGTATTTAAAATATTTAAAAATGATCTTTTGTGTGGAATTTTTAAATGAAAAATAGCAGTGCATTTCCAGGTATGTGAGGGTTTCTAAGCATGCCTGTGCACACAGTCTCATAGCTGTATATCTGCAGTGTGAGATATAAGGTTCTGCTGTCTTTCACTTCTGGTCTGATGAGATTTGGTGATGTCACGACTGTGCTGCACACTGTTCTCCTAGCTGGAGGCTCTAACATGAGGAAGCAAAGCCCTGCTACTACAAAGATGAACACCTCTACATAGAGACACAGTGAAGAACAAAGCATGGCAAGTCATAAATGTAGACTGGTGACAAGTCACTTGCAATATGCCTGTTTTTTATTTTTTATTTTCTTTTGGGGAGGCACGGCTTCCAAAGCTCAGTTCCTCTTTAATAAGAAACGATAGTAACTGTTAGCACCGCCGCTATCAACATTTTTGCATCTGTATTTTTGCAGGCGTATTAATCACTCTCACAGACAGGATCTCCTGATTCATCACCTGTTCCTGGCACATCTCCCACATTCCAAGATTTCACCTATTCCATCCACCCTAGTGGGAGGATTATATGGCCCCAGGGGAAGAAGAGCTCTGTTCTATAAATATAGCCAGTGATAACATGTGACTAGCAGAGCTGGATTATCATGGGAATCT